AGGCACCCGGAATGGAAAGTAAGTAGTAGGGACAAGGTGTCCCCAAACGCGTAATAACAATCAAGTGTCGGAAGGCCTGATTTTAAAGTTCACTTGCAGAGAAAAGGAAAGGAAAGGAAAGGAAAACGAAAGAGCACTATCAATTCTCTACGTATGACATGAGCAGCTATCATTACTTTGGTTTGAAAGGAGAAAGGAAAGGGGGAGGTAATATATATCCTTAAATATTAATCTGTATTGCCCTGCCCATGAATCTCAATGACCAAGAATTGGAAATTGACACGGTAAGGAACTATAGAATATATTGAATATCCCAGAAACATTGATTTTTATGAATTGTTCATTCAATTAATTTCATAATCTCAAATCAAATAAGTCGTATCTTGCTCAGACCGATAAATAGAGATGAAGTTATAGTTAAAGCTGCTAGTAGAAAACCGAAATAACTAGTTATAGTGGGCATGAAGAGGCTAAATGAAATATGTTCTTTTTATACATATGTTTAAAAAGCACTTCCCTAAGTTTCCATTAGAAAGATAGGAAGATAAACAAATACTTGAAAAATCCAATTGAAAGTTTTTGATTCATCAATCAATCATTATAGACGAACAAAAATATAGTGACATAGGTAAGAAATCCATTCATCATCTGTGACATCTACACGTCCTGTGATTCCAAATCAACAGATTCATTGAACAACTCTTGAGTTGAGTAAACTAATATAATAAAAAAATTATATAAAATTATATTTATATTAATATTATAAGAATAAGAACTTTGTTGTGTAATTTCATTCAATTCAAAAAGGGAAAACTCTCTTTTTCTTTGAATTAATATAGAATCAAATCGGAAAAATATCTATTTTGATCCTTTTTTTATTTTTTATTTATTAATTTGGATTGTATCTAATCCATTTTTTTAGACCAAAAGAACAGTGACCTTCTAATGCCCGTTACTTGACTTTTTTACAATGATTTTAATTCATTGGATTTTGTAGTAGGTTCCATTTTCATAATATCTCCAACGAGAAGAAAAAAGGTATCAAATCGCTCGAAACTAGGGTTCTACATTTTTTTCTCTTCTCTTTCCTTATTTTAATATAAAATAAAGCTCTATCCTTGTAATTGTAATTAAGTAATTAAGGCAAGAAGGAGCCTTTTGAGTGTAATACAAGAACAACAATGCGCATGCCGCGAATATTGATCTTCTTAAAAAAAATGGAATTATTTGTTATTTTTCTGTCATTAAATACTATCTATTACTGCTATTATTGTTACTTTTTATTGGACAACTAACCCTTTTTTTTTTAATAAAAAAAAAAAGGGGGTTCCAACAAAAAACATCTTCTACAACCACAAAAAGTATATTTCTAGATTTCGCATCTAATTGAATTGTAGAAATATGATATGACCTTAAATCTTTGTGTACTGACCCCAAATCGAATTGTTTGGGATTCAGAAGTGAAGGAAATTATTTTATCTACTAATAGTGGACAAATTGGAGTATTACCAAATCACGCGCCTATTGCCACAGCTGTAGATATCGGTATTTTGAGAATACGCCTTAACGGCCAATGGGTAACGATGGCTCTGATGGGCGGTTTTGCTAGAATAGGCAATAATGAGATCACTATTTTAGTAAATGATGCGGAGAAGGGTAGTGACATTGATCCACAAGAAGCTCAGCAAACTCTTGAAATAGCAGAAGCTAACTTGAGTAAAGCTGAAGGCAAGAGACAAACAATTGAGGCAAATCTAGCTCTCAGACGAGCTAGGACACGAGTAGAGGCTATCATATGATTTCGTAACAAGTTGGTGCGTACGAATAAAATAATTAAAAATCCAAATAGGTTGTATAAACAGAGGTTTTTTTATACAACCTATTTGGATTTCTGTTGATTGAATAGAATCCAATAGTGCAATCGAATTCTAATGCAACGAAAAAATTGGAAATTCAAAAAATGAATAAAAATGAAATAGAAGAGTAAGATAAGAGGGAAAAGATACAAAATCAATAAAAGAAAAAGGTGAGTAAAAAAACTTATTAGATACCATTGACTTTGGTAGCTAAAAAGTTCTACCTATACCTACTATTGGATTTGAACCAATGACTCCCGCCGTATGAAAGCAATACTCTAACCACTGAGTTAAGTAGGTCATTTATTATTCCAAAGAAAAACAAGTGGGACCTATCATATCGATGAATTATAAATGGAATATTACTTATAAGCAATACCAATCAAAGAGATTAGATCATGTAATATTCATCTTGACAATAAATTCCCTACATAATATGATAAAATATGTATCAAAAGCACAAGGGCTATAGCTTAGTTAGGTAGAGCACCTCGTTTACACGCGCGCAAATGTTTTTTCAGAGGAGTCCATCATGTAATCAAAAGAGTTGATCTTATTGAGAAACGTACACCCGTTTAGTTTCTTTCACCATTGTTATATTTGCTTTTCCATCCACGAGCATCTATCTGTGATATATTCTTCTGGTTCTTAATATAAGACCTATTCAACTAATTTAATTAGATTAAGAAAGTTAGGTAAGTTAGTTAATTATAAGAAAAGTAACACATTTTTCTTAAAACACTATAATCATCTTTCTTAATACATCATCTCCTCTTTCTACTTGATTATGGTTGAGGGAGTATCTATAGGAGTAATTTAGAGAACATTGATAAATATGAGAAATAGGTCTTATATTTAAAACTAAAACCAACTCAACAATTAGGTCCTATATTAAGAACCGGAGGAGTATATGTATATATATCTCAATTCTCTGCGCATGACCTGAGTAGCTTGTTGGTTGCTCATAATAATTGCTGCTAAGTGGGTGCTTTTTGATATGTGAAAAGGATAATATGCAGCCGAAAGCCTGAAAAATAATACTACTAGTACATGATGTATCATAGGTGTTTAACTCCTCACAAGCTTTTATTTTTGTTTTTTAATTTTAAAAACTGTCGTTTTTAGTTATTTGATACTTTTTTTTTGGGGTAAAGGTCACAATTAGTTATCTAATATTAACATTATTAAAAAAGTGACAACATTGAAATTTTAAAAATGAACAAAATATCCTTAAATGCTGACATATTAAGTTTAAATTTTTAAAATAATAATGAATGAGACATAAAATCATCGTTATATTATTGATACTAACAGTATTATGGCAAGATGAGTAAGAAAATACTTATAAAATGAATAGACAAAATTGAAATTTTATATTAAGTTATATGACATCATGGGATCCCACTACTGTATAAATCTTTTTTTTTTTGGCCTAATCATACATTATTGATATATAAACATTCATATATCAGTAAAGAGTTTGTTCGGTATGCTTAAAATGTACTAGTTTCTGTTCTTAATATAAAATCTAATTGATTAATTTGAAAAGATTAAGAAAATATTTAAATTACTTAACTAAAAGATCCTGGTGATAATAGAACAATTTTCAATGACAAGTTTCAGAGTAAGAAATGACAATTGCTTACTTGTCATTAAAATTTACGGATAATTATTTTCTATTTTTAGAACCTCATTGTAATTCTTTCTTTAAAAACCAATTACATGGTTTGGGAAATTCTATATAGAGAAGAGAAGTTTTCAGTTGTTTTAAAATAGGCCTTTACAGTAAAAAGTAAGGTAATTGTATCGCCAAAAAAAAAGTAAGATGATAAACTGATAATACTTACCACAATTAAATTAGGTCCAAATAAATGTTGTGGTAAAACTTTAAAGTAAACCCAGATCATCATTTTTACCAAGCAATTTCTGAATTTTCTCAAATTTAAATTTAAGTGCAAAATGATGTGAGGGAATATATGGACCTCAATTAAAAAAGAAAAACGTAAGATAGAAATAGCACGAGATCTATTAATTAATGAAAAATAAAATTTATTCCTCGGAAATTATATAAAAATATCATGTGCTGTATATATGAAGGAGTTTTGCATTAGGAGTCTCCTCTCTCTCAGACTGTCGCACTCATTCATTCGGTAACTTTTGAAAATGATATTAAAAAAGTAACTAATTTTTCGTACAAACAATTGCAAAATAAGAATTCTGAAATTTCAGAGAATTGTACCTCCAGAAAAGCAAATATCAGAAGAATTCCAAACGCGTAGTAACAGTTAACTGGAACGCACTGATTTCTTTAACTTTGATTTCACACTTTTGGGGTCCATTAGAAAGGACAAAGAAAGAGCCTTATCACTTCCCAGCTGAAACCGAGTTGGCGACCCGAGTTCATGTGATATATGAATGTGAAAATCTCTTTTTCTTTGCCTAAGTTTTTCATTTTGTGATAATTGCTTTCTATTTTAGAGAGAGAAAGAACGAGCAGTATGGTTTCCAACCAAGTTGACGACTCATCAAGCTCATAAAAAGTCTGGTGATCGCAGTGGACTTCTGTTCATCTGGTTTCTGAAAATTTGCAAGCCGAGAATCTCAAGCTGAATTTTGCAAGCTTAATTATCTGGTATGACAATCAAACCGTCGTCAGTCTTTCATTTTCTGGAGCTCTCACTTACAGATATTACATTTGTTACTTGTTCTTCTTTCAACTTGCGTGGCACAGATCTGATAGAAAATACCACTCAAAACAGTACATGGTTGTGTCTAAAAGTAGCTGCAAAAAGCTTACATCTCATGGCAATAAAGTGACAACAACTGATCTTTCTTATTTTTCAGATTCAACATCTTCAAATTTACCTTTCATCAGCTTGCTGCTACGTATTTGGAGATGAAGCAGTAAAAAGATTGCTCTTCATGGAATGAAATTTTGATTTTGAAAGGGTACGCATCTGAGTTTGGAAGAAAAATAGCTTTACAATTTCAAGATTTTTCTAGCACACATGTTCTATCTATATTAGAATATTTTTATATTATCTCATAGGATACTAGTTCTAAAAAATTTTACCTTGGAAAAGTAAAAATGATAAGATTGCATTTTAACTTTTGAAAGATTGCATTTTACCAAATAAATTGAAAATGGACAACACCTACTGTTCAAGGCCTGAAACATCTTATCTACGTCCAGTCTCTCGCCAGATCTGGTCATTGCAGGCCAATTCTATTCTTCTCACTCTTGAAAATCTACAACCCCAGACCGAAAGTGCAACTTCATCTGTCACAGGTTTGAAGTAATACCCCACTCTTGAATCAAAGTCTCATTTTTTCCCACTTTATTCATTCACATGTTTCTTTTGCCATTGTTCTATTTGCTTTGCCATACATACGCATCTATCTGTGATCTTTCTCAATTCTCAAAGTATGACAAGCTTGTTAGTTGCTGATAATCACTGCTGCCACTTTTAGACTACATGTTTCCTTCTTTCACCTTTGCATCTATCTGCTACAAGAAATAGAATCATAAAACACTAAATTTTGTTACTCTAATATCTGGACATTGCCGGCGGGGCCAAAAAAACCTGTCATCACAGCAAGAAAGGTGAACAAAAACAATTGATCTTTCTATAGTTTACTCTGGATTAAAAAAAATCGTTATTCTCATCTTGATGACCTCTTGATGATATCTTCATGACAGATTAAGTACCTAAGATGCTTCAATTCTTCAAAATGAAATTTTGAGTTAATCATTTGATGAATGGGTCTCCTTTTAGGTTTCTATTAGTATTGAATGGCAGAGGTGGGAGTGTCGGTGGCAGCAAAACTTGCTGAATATTTGGTGCATCCAACTTTACAGCAGCTGCAATATTTGTTCTGTGTGGGCAAAATCTCCAAAAATGTTGAGATCAGAAAGGAGGAGCTGATACTGAAGCAAGGGAGGGTGCAGGAACGCGTTCAAGAGGCCGTCAACAGGACTGAGAGGATTGATGATGAGGTTCACAGGTGGAAGAATGACGTGAAGAGCCTCATAGCAGAGGTGGAGAATTTGGAGGAAAGACTAAGGGCTAATCATGGGTGCCTTCGAGGGTTGTGTCCTACTTGGAGGAGATATTATCTCTGCAAAAAGTTGGCTAAGACAATCCGGAGGATGATTGATCTAATTACAAAGAGTAATCGCTTGGATCCATTTTCCCATCCCGTTATTGTTCCAGATATAGTGTATCACTCTTCACAAAACTTCAAGCTCTTCAACTCTACACAAATGGCTTTTGACCAGTTGTGGGAGGCTTTGCAAAATGAGGGTAGCTCCGTGATTGGACTTTGGGGAATGGGAGGGTCAGGGAAAACCACCTTGGTGACAGAAGTGGGAAAGAAAGCCAAAGAGTCACAACTCTTCGACAGAGTTGTGATTGCCACAATTTCTCAAAGTTTAGATATCATGCAAATTCAGGATGAAATTGCTGACTCGTTGGGGCTCAAGTTAGAAGAAAAATCTAAAACAGGAAGGGCAAAAAGAATTGCACTACGATTACAAGGCGGAAAACCGATTTTGGTAATACTGGATGATATATGGGCTAAGCTAAATCTTGAGCACATAGGGATTCCCATGGGGGGAAATCTTCAAAGGAGTTGCAAAGTTGTCCTGACCACACGCCTTTTAGAAGTATGTACCTTGATGGAATGTCAAAAGACAATCAAACTTGATTTGTTAAAAGAAGATGAAGCTTGGATTTTGTTTCAAAGTCATGCTAATGTCAATGATGCTGCTCAACAAGATATGGCACGACAAATCGCTATGGAATGTAAGGGCCTACCCATTGCGATTGTAGCTGTGGGTACTTGCTTGAAAGAAAAAGGAGTTGATGAGATGAAGGTAATGTTGCATCAGTTGAGGAATGCGAAAGCAACCAATGTGAATAAAGGAGTAAGGGATGCTTTTACTTGTCTTGAATTAAGCTATGATAATTTGGCAACCCGAGAAGCCAAGTTGTTATTGTTAATGTGTGCTATGTTTCCTGAAGATCATAATATTAGTGTTGAAGACCTTTTCAGATATGGAGTGGGTTTAGGCCTATGTGAAGATGTAGACTCATTTGAAATAGCAAGGTGCCAAGTTATAACAACTATCAATGATCTCATCAACTCCTCATTGTTGATGTGTTCTTCAAAATTCAACACAAATGCACAAGAATATGTGACAATGCATGATATGGTTCGTGATTTTGCATTGTGGAAAGCATCTAAAGAGGATCGTACCATTGGGGTAAGTTGTGGAAAGGAATTGAATGAAGTGATTGCTGATGAAGTGGTGAAAAATTGTTATGCTGTATCTTCATGGTATGAGAACAATAAACACTTTGAATTTCCTTCTCAATTGGATGTCTTTCAATTTCCTTCTCAATTGGATGCTCCAAAGCTTGAGTTTCTGTTGTTACAATCTGGAAAACTCTTGGATATCTCAGATGCATCATTTGAAGGAACTAAAGGACTGAAGGCGTTAATTATTAGCTCCTCCTATTTTGGGCAGCCCAATGCTAGACTATTACAACATCAATCAATCCAACACTTGTCTAATCTTCGAACTTTGCAATTGCAAGGTTGGAATTTACGTGACATCTCTTTTGTGGTAAGCCTTACAAGACTTGAAATTCTTGACTTGCAAAGAAGTATGTTTGAAAGATTGCCAAATGGAATTGAAAATTTAAATAAGCTGAAGTTGTTAGATTTGTCAGATTGTTACATAGGTGAATGTTGTTGCAAAGTAATAGGAAGATGCTCACAGTTAGAAGAGTTGTATGTTACCATGCATTGTCCACAGTCAAAAATTGCAAAATGCTATGAATGCCTTATGGCCCCTACTGCTTTGATTAAACTGAGAAGGTATAGGATAGGAATTGGGGAGCATAAATTGATGTCTCAAAAGGAAAGTGCAAGATATTTACGCTTGGTTCAGTTAAATATCGCCATGTTAGGTGTAGGAATCAAGGATCTTGCACAAAGAGCAACTACAATTAAATTTCATGAGCTTGAGGGAGGCAGCAGAAGTTTCATGCCTAATGTTGTTCAAGCTATCGGAGCCATGAATGAGTTAACTAAGCTCTGTCTTGGAAGGTGTTCAGAGATGGAATGCATTGTTGACAAAATTAATACTCATGAAGATGCGATTTCCCCAAGATTGGATGAGTTAGTGCTAAAAGATATGGATAATCTTCAACAACTACATCGTGGTCTTTCTTCTTTTAGCTTGTTCCAAAAGCTAGAAACACTACGTATATCCAATTGCCCTCAGTTGCTCCATATATTCCCTGCTGATTGCAACATAGGCAATCTTAAGTTTCTCAATATTTTTGGTTGTCCAAGGTTGACATCTCTCTTCCCTGTCTCTGCTGTGTGCACTCTGTTGTCCTTACAAGAGCTCCAAATAGAAAGGTGCAATGAACTGAAGCATGTAATAGAAGGAGAGGGTGGTGGTGATGCATTGGAAAGACTATGTATATCCAATTGCCCTCAGTTGCTCCATATATTCCCTGCTGATTGCAACATAGGCAATCTTAAGTTTCTCAATATTTTTGGTTGTCCGAGGTTGACATCTCTCTTCCCTGTCTCTGCTGTGTGCACTCTGCTGTCCTTACAAGAGCTCCAAATAGAAAGGTGCAATGAACTGAAGCATGTAATAGAAGGAGAGGGTGGTGGTGATGCATTGGAAAGACTATATATATCCAATTGCCCTCAGTTGCTCCATATATTCCCTGCTGATTGCAACTTAGGCAATCTTAAGTTTCTCAATATTTTTGGTTGTCCGAAGTTAACATCTCTCTTCCCTGTCTCTGTTGTGTGCACTCTATTGTCATTACGAGAGCTCCGAATACAAAGTTGCAGTGAACTGAAGCATGTTTTAGAGGGAGAGAGTGATGGTGATGCATGGGAGAATTTGAGCTTCCCAAAATTGAAAATTTTGTCTGTTGGTGATTGCTGCAAATTAGAATCTGTATGCTCAGTCTTTTTAGCTCAAAGGTTTGTACAATTGCAGCGTCTATCCATAACAAATGCTCCTCAAATGAAATTTGTGTTCGGTGAAAATGCTGATGAAGAACAACCACTGCGTGATCAAGATGAGACTCAAATAGCTCTTTCTCTTTTGGAATACCTCACACTAACAAGTCTTCCAAACCTTGTCGGAATTTGCTCAGAGAGGTATCATCTAAGGGGGCCATCTATAAAGACAATAGAATGGAAGGATTGTCCAAATCTGGTACGTGTTTGCCTCACATATTGTAATTTGATTTGCAAAAAAAAAAAAGTTGAAATTGCTTTTTTTTTTTTTTAGTTTATGTAAAAAGACATCTTTGTTTACACGTCTAATTTTTTCTTTATCATCCACAAAATAGCAAATAATGTTCAAGTGAATAGATCTTGAGAGATGAGTTAGTCAATTAATTCATTCACATTTTGTTATTTAAAATAAGAAATAAAATTAAAATATCTAAAATCATGCATAATTTTTTTGAGCATTTGAATTTCACTCTGCTTTTGGTTTAGAATTACTCTGCATTACGGAAATAAAAATGCAATGACCAATAACAACTTTTGTTACCATTTCAACGGCCCACAATAAACATTGACTCTTATGGGCCCCTCTTTATAATTTTTCCTTGACTTCATTGATTGTGAAATCTATTTTCTTATATATGCGTATGGTTTATCTTTATTTGTTTAATTTATCAAAAAATTGATAGCCTAAGTCTATGCAAGAATGATACATATAGAATTTTAATCAATCTCGATTTATTGTTTTTTTAGGAATTATGTTAATTGATATCATTTTCTTTATTCCTTTTTTTCCTTTCACAAAGGATTTGCAGGAACTTGAGAGCCACCAGAGGAATGAAGAACACAAGTCATTGACAACTATAGAAAGTATTCAACTTCATAACTGTGGAGTAGAATCCATTTCCCTCTATAAGACAGGCGTTGAAGAACAATATCCAACATTTCAATCCCTTAAAGAACTAGCCTTGCGAAATCATGCAAGATTGAAATTTGTCTTTTCTGCTCACATGTGTCAAAGTCTTCCAGAGTTAACTTCTGTAACCATATCTTGCTGTGAGGAGTTGGAGGCGATCTTTTCGGAGAATGAAGAGACTCAGAAAAATCCACCTAATGCTGAATCTTGTCTCCCGAAATTGAAGACGTTGAGAGTCTCTGGGTGCAACAAGCTTAAATTCATTTTATCTTTCATGATTGGTCCTACTGTCTCAATGCTGCCACAACTAAGCACTCTAGCCATATCAAATTCTTCCGAAATGGAAGAAATTTTCAAATGCCCAAATATTGAAGATCATCACATTGATAGTAGTGAAAAGGAGATTACATTCCCGAACATGAAATATCTGGAACTTAAGAACTTGCCAAGACTTGTTAATGTCTGCCAAGGATTCAAGTTGCAGACAGGGGAGTTTTACATGGTTGCGGTTCATGACTGCCCAAAACTTATGCCAATTATGGGTGCATCTATTCATTGGACTAAAGAGGTAACGAATATTCTGCATTTGTATTTCTCCATATTGCAAATATTTTTTTTTGTTGCAAAATTAATTAAATTCATGCGAGCTGAACATTTAATACTTTCAATTTTTTGTTTTTAATGTTTTGTTCATTTAAGCTCATGAACTGCGGTCTAATACATTCATTCGTTTCACATGCATATGAACAAGACATCTCTACATACAAAAAGCTGCTTCAAAAAACGAATCATTCTGCATTTCATGAAAGAAACCAAACGAACTACGGTTTAGTTTGTCAACTTGTGACTAGTTTGGTACTGCCGATACAAATACGATGTAAATTTTCTTCCACCATGTTATCTCACAATCAATGATAGTTCAAGTCATAGAAGTTGAAGAGAAGAAGGATTTCAGCAATGCAGAGCATTATATATTTCCGGTTTTACCATGATTCTGCCATGTAGACAAGCAATTGACTAAGATATCATATATTCTTGCATACAAATCGAAGTTACCAAATTAAGAACTGCATATCTTAACTTGTACAAATAGGTACAGATGTTGAATGTACTGCAATCTCTTCCTTTTCATAACCTTTATCAAGGAACTTAGAATATTTTATTCCCTCACCTTTCACTTCTCTGTTATATGCAGGGACTTGTAAGGAAGTATGTGTTGAGATACAGCCAATTGGATAACAATGAGGCTCTCAATAATCTTCCACTTTCTGTTCTAAATATTGGAGAGCTTGATATTCAAAGTCCTAGAGTTGAACACGAGCGGCGAGTGATTGTTAATGATGAGCAAGAAGAAGCCAATAACTCAGAAATGTTGAGATCAGAAGAGCAAATGGTGGGAGGTCTTGTTCCCACGCAAGTGTTGAGCTTTCAACATCTTCATTCCTTAGAAGTAACTCACAATAAAAAGTTGAAGTTTTTGTTCTCAAGAAGCACTATTGTCCATACCAGCCTTCCCAAGCTAACTTCCCTAACCTTATCTGATTGTGAGGAATTAGAGGTGATTTTTAGACAAAGCAGTGAAGGTGATGCGAACTACAGTGAGACAATTGTGCTTTCCAGCTTGAGGACGATAGAGCTAACAAATTTGTCAAATTTGACAAGTGTTTGTCAAGGATTGCAGATTTAGGTGCAGTTAAGCAGCATCAGCATACGGAACTGCCCAAAATTTGTGGATTCAACTTTGGGAAGGGCTCTTCAACAATTGGGAACAATATCGGTATGAATGAATATTCCATATCATCTTGATTTAGAGTCTTCAAAATTAGATGGAATATATGCTATTAGAATCATTATATATATATATATATATCTCTCATTTGGGTAGCTGTATAAATTATATAGGGAATTTATAAATTACAAGGAGATTTTCAAGGACGTGAAGAAGGAAAAAAAAATACTTGATGTATGGACACAAATAGCTTTTCTTTCAATTTCAGATCACAATGGATGAAATTATATGGAATATATGTGTGTGTGTTGTGAGACTTCATTTCACGTTTTTTTTAATATTCATTAAATATATTCTTTTAAAATTTTTCATATCAAAATTGTGACTATGAAATTTCACCCCAGAAAAAATGGCAGTAAAAGAATAATTGTGTGCGTGGTGATTCACAGACTATTTTGATAAAAAATATATTTTATAGGAAATTAATCTAAATCAATTATAAATTTGTTTTTTTTTATCCTGTAACCATATACTGATGATATATAAATATTTGTACATCAGTAGAAAGCGAGGAGTTTGCTTGGTATGCTTACAATGTATCTAACTTTTTTAAATCGAGGTTTTAAAAAAGAAAATTTGAATGCTCTAAATTTTATTGATGTGAATAAATTTGTCCGTTTTTCTTTAAAAAAATGAAATTGCAATTGCCACAGGTTTCGATAGAAGCTTCAAGTGTTCAAACTTCATCAAATGGAGAAAAAGAATTGCCAGTAAATGAAGAAAAAGGGACGGTGGTGATCTCAGGAGCAGAGCACTTGTGTTTGGAGGATTCAATGAACCTCGTATCTGTATGGGAGGGTCCCGGTTTCATGGTCTTTCAAAATCTGTATGGGAGGATGCATTTGGAAAATTGAAGTGTATGTTCCCAAACACTGTGATCAGAAGCCTACCACGTTTGGAGGATCTAAGCATTGAAGAATGTGAAGAGATGGAGGAAATGATGTCATCAGAGGAAGAGCATCACTACTTTCCAAATGCATCCTCCTCTCATTCCTTCTGCTTCCCACAACTTGAATATCTTAGAGTCTTAAGATGCAGAAAGTTGAAATGGCTCTTCCCCTCTCCACCCTCTACTCAACATCATCTTCCACAGTTGGATCGTTTGTGGATTGATGAGTGCTCTGAGCTAAGAGGACTTTTTAATTGTGAACCTGAAATCCAAGAGGAAGGGTTTTACAACAACGTACTTCCAAAACTGTCATGTCCAGATATTACAGATTGTCCCACCTTCTCTAAAACCACACTCGCGGCTCTTCAAAGGTGTGCACATTTGACTTTAGATTGTTCTGTTTTTTTTCCCTTTTGAATTTCTTCTTTTTCTTTTTCCCGGTAATATATTTTTTGATTGCATACACTTAGAAATTTTGGCATGGCACACCATACAAAGTTTTGTATCTTTTGATTTTTGAATTTATTTATAAAAAGAATTACAGTAAAAGGCCAAATTCACAAATTAACTATTTACCTCTCACACAATGCATGTTTGCTAGTAGACAGTCAGCATTTACCGTTTACGTAATACAAATTTACAACTAAATCTGAAACAGATTCAACATTATTTAGTACTTAAATAACACAAAATTAATGCCGGAATAATGCTAATTATTGTGATTAGTGGCCCTTAGGCCTGATTTTTTTCTTATTTATATACCATCTCCTAGCTCCCCGATACATGCTGCATATATGTTTTCCTCAGATCTATTATTTACTCTTCTAACTGTCATTTTTCTCATATTCGCTCAGTCTCGCAAAGAAAAACCTACGACGGATGGGGGGATGGTCCTAGCAGGGAATTAGTACGGTCTGCTTCTGTTGATCACTTTTTTTTTGATGCATTATTGCATTCAATAATCAAAACATTGCAGAAGGCATTCGTATTTGTATCATTTTTATTTAAATACTCCGGGTTGTTGCTTCCATACATACACAAATACTACTTTCTCAACTTTCAATCAACACCTTTTGTGAGGCAGCATATATGACTTTTTATAATTATTTTTTTTATTTTTGCCTTAATTTTTACAATGAAAAGGGTTTTTACTTACTTTTGCTTAAAAGAATTAATAAGTCGAAATGACCTCAAAATGATCAAGAATGAAATAACATGTCAATGCTTCTTCCAATTCAATGAATAAAATTTTCAAAGACGGCTTTAATATTCTTTTGTTTGGTGCAAATTAGAAAGAAGGACTTATAGCCACTGATATTTATTGAAGATGAATTATAATAATTGTAATTATTTAAAGGATCATCTGTCAAAATAAAAATTTTAAAATACTAAATTGCCTCAATTTTTTTAAAAGAAAAAACCTAATTAACCTTTTCCAACCAAGGTTATATCCATATCATCGATATATAATTTAATTATTAATATTGGCATCTATTCATTTACATCATCAAGTTTTTTTTGCCTGATTGATATTATCTATATTTATGTTGATTAATTAAACTCTATTCAATATAAACTAAAAAAACATAAGAAATTTTATAGATGTTAAAAAATCATTATTCTCCATAAAAAAATTAAAATTTATATTTACATTTAAGTTTTTAGTCTTTTTAAATAATTACAATTTTTATAATCCTCGCTAATAAATATTATTTTCTCTAGGTCTTTCTCTCCAATTTTCCCTTTTTTGTTTTTTTTTATTGAGCAATCTTAAAAAATTGAGTTTAGAATATAAACAGTATTAGAAAATTTTATCCATAGAAATACTGATGACGTGACCATTCATGTGTTTGGAAATCTTGTGACCAAACCAACTATAGAATGGTTTTGTTTCTCCAAATTTACAAAAGGTATGTTTTCAAAAGTTTGTAAAACGGTGACGGTAATAGAATTTTCCAATCCGATAATGCTAAAGAAAGTACTTGCAGAGTCTCCCACTTGGCCATTTCTATTGATGAGCTTCAATAATTGAACACATTTTTAAGAAGGTTTTGAAAAAAAAAATAGAGAAAACCAAATGATCAAATGGAATTATGAATGTTCCGGTTAAAAAACAGAAATAAATGGGTACATTCCAACGAAATAAATAAATAAGCAAATGGGTATATTTGGAGTCCTTTGATCCCCTAATTTCTTTAACTCTTCCTTCAAGTAAACCAAGTTTAGTGCATTTCACTAAGCTCCAAATTATCAACTACCAAGAGACCCCATTGACCATTGTCTTTCATTTGGGGTCTACAAAAATGGAAAAATTGACAAGAATTGGGTTTATTTGCCCTTTGTTTTGGGCCTTTTTTAATATAAGAACTGTTATATTAAAATTGTTTTCTTTAAAATTTTTATGCAAAATAAAAGTTATTTTGACGTTAGTTAAAAGTAGCTTTCTTACTCTGGTTTAGGGCTAATTAGTGGTTGTTGAATTACTCATTACTTAATAAGATTGGATTTGTTGTGATCCTCCACTTGCTTTTGTTTGTGCTTTAGTTTACAAGCCTGGATCAACCCACGTTAGCACCTAAATAAAATACACTAGCGACTTGCATTTGTTCAAGGCATAGCTTAACGGCAGTGGGATTAATAATGAAAAACACTTTGATAATTATCGCTTTCTGCCTTCACCTAAAAAACTTGTGATTATTGACGGAATTCAACAATGGAATTACTAACGGACCAGTGATAGAATTAAAATTTTATGACAAAAGTTAGCGACGAAATCACTAAAAAAAATTAGTGATGAAATTACTGTCAGATTATCGATGGAATGGAATTCTGCAGGCAATTTGTTGGTATATCTAGCAATGTAATTTCTGTTGGTAATCTATCAAAATTAGTGACAGATCCAATAATTTTTTCATTGTTAATTCTATCAGTAATAAGCTATTTTTTGTAGTGCTTTTCTTGTAGGGTGATTTTCTTCCATTAAGTGAAGGATGACAAAAAAATAATGATTCACACAGAAAATCATCGTTTGAGACTTTGAGTCTAACAATATTAGTGTTAATTATATGACTACAAAGATACCTTATAAACTGAACCGACCAAATTGAAAATAAATGATGGTATAACAAACAGATGATTAATTTCCCAGATAAACTGATGCAAAATAAAAATCCGGAAATTTGGAAAAAAAGAAAAAGAAAATCATAAGATTGCTTTCTTTATTTTTTAACTTTCACTTTTACATGTGGTCTGAAGGCACCTGGAAAGCAAGCAGGGACAAGGTGCCCCTAAACGCGTAATGACAATCAAGTGGTGAAGGACAATCATTAGCGACACCGCGTATTTCTTTGACTTTCTAATGCTTTTAAGTATATTTGCATTTGGTTTATTTTTTTTTTTCAAACGTGATTTTAAAATATTTTAGGTTTGGATATGATAAAAAATAATTCTTATTAAAAAAATTTTCAAACTACTTAAAAATTTCTCAAGAATAACTTTTCAAAATATCACCTGTGTGGTCCCACAAGATTTTATTTTTGGTCTGTCAAATAAAAAAATGTCTTTTAAGTTTTCTTGGCATGATATCATGAATTAGAAACGTCAATGTTAAAAATATTAAATATTGATAAAATATTTTTAAATACTGGCATATCAAACTTACGTTTTGGAAAAAAAATAATGATTCATACAAAAAATAATCATTTGAGTCTAACAATATGAGTTAGCCTTAATCGTATGGCTACAAAGATACCTTATAAAACGAAGCAACCAAATTGAAAAATGGTATAACAAAAAGATGATTAATTTCCCAGATAAAATAATGCAAAATAAAAATTCCGAAATTTTGCAAAACAGAAAAAGAAAGTCTTGAGATTTTTTTTTTTTTTTAAACTTTCACTTTTACATCTGGTCTAAAGACACCTGGAATGGAAAGCAAGTAGTAGGGACAAGGTGTCCCCAAACGCGTAATAACAATCAAGTGTCGGAAGGCCTGATTTTGTTGACCTTT